AGATTCTCTGGCTGTACCTAGTTTCAGCTTTTTATGCAGTGCAGTACCTTGTGCAATAGCCTTCTATTGTCTTAATTTATCACTACATAGAAGGAATTTAACTCTTCTCTTTAGCCTGGAAGAAAAGTGATTATTAGTACATTCATTAGCTTTAATCAGGGTCTGTGATCCTTTATAAATTAAAGACCTACTTGATGGCAGCCATTAACACTTTCAGGTATAACAATATTTAACTGATCAAGTGATACTTTGTTTTTTTCTCTTTATGAATCTGTTTTACAATAGCAGAATATAATTCAAGATAAGCGTATACAAGCATCTACTATACAGGAAACAACATTTTATTTGTTATTTAGTAACAGGTAGTTCATATAGATTTACATTTTCTACTCATATCTAGACATTTATATTGTAATTACTGCCTTCACACTTTTTAGATGGGTAGATCTATTTTCCAGATCATTTTTTATTATTTTATTTTAAATGAATATGGTATTCATATAAAGTGCTAGATCAACACACAATTCAAGCTTAAGCAGAGTAACCTCATACCACTGTAGCCATGCTTCTTCCTGAGAGCAGAAAAGACCAGCTCTTTTCTGTTTTTGTGTTGTGATTCATTCCTGTCCTGCCTACTGGGACAACTATGAAGTATGCCTTTTAACCATAGTTATTATGGTGGCTTTTTGTGATGTGGGTTTATGTGCACCTGGAACTGAAATAAAGCCAACAAGTTACTTCATGTAAACTCCTCTGTTTCGAATTTTCAGCTTCTGGGAATATATGTAGATGACCAAGAAATAAAAGGCTCCTTAATTTTCTCAACTCATGGGCAGACCTAAGATTTTGAAAAGGGGAGTGTAGATGACGTGGTGCATCATCATCATCACATACAACACAACACTTTGGTCTCCAGTTAAAGAGAAACTAGAAGCTTTACTAATATATTAGGAGGCTAGCATTACATTATTCAGTTTATGGTCAAAGCGAAAACAAATATAATTATTGGAATCGGCACTAATTTCCTCGGGTATATATAAGGTTTAAAAAAACACAACAAATTGGGCAAAAAATTGTCAAAAGATATTGGGTCATTAGTCCTGTATTTATTATGTGTACATCTCTGATTCAGACTGAGCATCTTGACAGTGCCTCCAGTACTTCACTCAGTCATTTCTACATCTGAGTTAATATTACAACACTTGAGGTAAGGTTTTGAGCTAGAGCTAAACAATCTGTAGGGCTGTAAAACAGAAGAGTGACATTACCAGGAATGGCTAAGGAACAACACAATTACAGGAGAAAGAACAATTTGATTAATGGAACATCAGGACTTTTAAAAAGGAGAGAGGGTTGCAGTAATGCCATGAAAAAATTGAGATCCACTATTTCCAAGTCCACTATTAGCCCCGGGAGCTGTGCGACTCCCTGTATGCCTCCTGCTGCCTGCCAAGCTGCACGCTGGCCACAGCGCATGTCCCCTGCTCACCTAATGCACAGCAAGATGCACACATGGCATTGCATGGCTCCTGGGGCAAAGGCAGGAGGGTGCAGAGCCCCAGCCTGCTTCTGCTCTGTGCACAAATCCAGGGGGCATGTGTCCCCGTGTCTCCCCCGGGGAGTGCATGCAGTGGTGGGGAGCCATCTTGCCCCCCCCCCGCAATGCCTCTGGATAAGCCACCCGTGGCTCTGTCACATGACCCGTGACCCAACCCATCTGCTTGTCTGTGTCTTTGGGTACCTGTGTCTGTGTGTCTGCTGCTCATTCCCAAGACACAGCCTCCCCAGCCCTGCTGATGCCCATCACTCCTGACCCACAGTACCCTGCATCCTGCCAGGGTGTGCAGGGACCTGCCCTTCCTGGGCTTCAAACTCCACACATACACCAGGCTGCCCCCCCACCTCCTTTTCAAAAATCGCATCTCATGATTTACATGCCATGCCACATCTCTTGATTTTTAAGAGTTTGTGTGTCAGTTTTTGACATGGTGGGGTTGGCAATACTGGGGTTTTTAACATCTGTGGAGTGGAGAGAGATGAACAGGAATCATGGATATGGCAATGAGCCATGAAGTCAATTGGTTCGTTCAGTGCTGGCTGAACAGAATGGCTTCTGCTCCTCCCAGGCAGTTGGATTGGAGTTTGAGTAAACCAGGGTCAAAGGGGTGTGTGACTGCACCACTGCACCCACCCTGGATCCACTGATGCCTCATCTCATCTGCAATGAACTGAGATATCAGAGACTTCTGAACATATCAAAATGTTGAAAGATGTACTTCTCCTCTTTTTCCATAATTGTGCATAAGTGATGGTTCTTTGCCTTGCTGCAGCAAGGTCCTTCTTACAGATCTCACCAAGGGCTCGGCAAATGAGCAGGTGCTCCATAACCTGGACTTTACCACACTTGCATATATTTATGTCACTGGAGTAGCCCCATTTGATCATGTTTGTTTTCATAGTTTCATAGTTTGTAGGGTCGGAAGGGACCTTGATAGATCATCAAGTCCAACCTCCTGCCATGGCAGGAAAGAGTACTGGGGTCAAATGACCCCAGCAAGGTGTTCATCTAGCCTTCTCTTAAAGACCCCCAGGGTAGGAGCCAGCACCACTTCTCTTGGAAGTTGGTTCCAGATCCTAGCCGCCCTGACTGTGAAGTAGCACCTCCTGATGTCTAGTCTAACTCTACCCTCTGCCAGCTTGTGACCATTATTTCTAGTCACTCCTGGTAGTGCTCAGGGGAACAGGGACTCCCCAATGCCTGCTGGTCCTCTCTGATTAGTTTGTAACAGGCCACTAGAGCCCCCCCTCAGCCTTCTCCTGTGGAGGCTGAACAGGTTCAGGTCCCTTAGCGTCTCCTCATAGGGCCTGCCCTGCTGCCCCCTGATCATGCAGGTGGCCCTCCTTTGGACCCTCTCAATGCTGTCCACATCCCTCCTGAAGTGCGGTGCCCAGAACTGGATGTAGTGCTCGAACTGCGGCCTGACTAGTGTCGCATAGAAGGGAAGGATCACCTCCTTGGACCTGCTTGAGATGCATCTGTGGATGCATGACAAGGTGCGGTTGGCCTTCCTGACTGGCCTTCCCCACACTGTCAGCCCATGTTCATTTAAGCATCAATAATGATTCCAAGATCCTTTTCTGCCTTTGCTCTGACAATAAGGGAGTTCCCCAGCCTGTAGGTATGCTGCTGGTACTTCCTCCCCAGGTGCAGCATATTTTGATCTTCCAGTTTTCATGCACAGGTGATTTAGGCATCGCTATGTTGGCCAGTCTAGATCAGCCCCTCTGGGAAAGTCCTTCTGGGGTTCCAGGTCCATTTCAGAGCACCTGATTGTGCAAAAAAATTCTTTTCATAAAGATAGTGAATATGTTGAAAAATTATGAACTAAAATCTTTCCATTTTACTTCTTTGCCAATTAAGAACTAATGTAAATTTTAGTAACCAATTTTTTTCTTCAGATTATAAAACTAAATAATGAATACTTTAAGCCTGCTAAAGATGACTTTATTATTCCTTATATTTTTCCCACAACTTAATTCTTTCCTGTATTTGGGGGGTACTAAACCTGCGTCAGCAATTATGTCCTGTGACAGGGAGCCAGAAGCTCCTGTCACTTGAAGTAAAGAGCGCAATGGGTTAAACTTGCTATTCAGGGCTGCAGGAAAGAGAAGGCAAAGGGGAAATCCCCGTGGGTGGCTGAGGAACTACCTGACCAGAAGGAGGCAGTGTTTAGAGGCCTATAAAACCAGTGCAGGAAGAAAGAAAGGCAGTTTGGCCCTGCAGGGTGCAGACATAAGAGCTCCTGGGAGAGAGGGACTTCAGGAAAACAGCACACAGACACCCAAGCTATCCTGGAAAGCTGGGAAGTATGGCTTGGAGTGGGGGTATTGACCCTGAGTGAAGATAAATTTTAGTTTGGAAGAGGTTGGCTTATATTTGTGTTACGGAAAAGTTTAACACCAGAGGACCAGATTGTGCCTGTATGGTATGATTGGAGGCCACATATCAGGGTGCCACATACTAGGCATTCATGGTTTCAAGCTCTGAAAAGGAGTGAGGGAGAGCGAGAGACGGGGAGCAGGCTATCACTGAGAGGGCCAGAGCCCGTGCCCTGAGTGGGCAAGACCAGGGCTGGGGCCAAGGCTGTGGACCTGAGCTGAGGAGGTACAGCCAGAGAAAGAGGGCCAAAAGACTGGAGCCCCAACAAAGGTTGGAGACCTGAGGAGGCCAAGTGTTGTGGTAGAGCCAGGGGGGGCCCTAAAGTGATATTTAGTAACATCTGTGAGGCATGGGCAGGGGAGGTGAAGGCTACAATTATTGTCCTTAAAATGGTGGGGCCCTAAGGCATGGATAGGGCCAGGAGGGCCACGATTTAAGGAGTCAGATTAGTGCTAGTCAGGCACATGAAACAATAGACAGCAGAGGGATGGAGGCTTACTGTGAGACTGAAGGCCAGTCTCCTTAAGTATTACAAGATACCTCAAAGTATGGCAGCTGAGGTAGAAGCAGGGGGGGGACCCTGAGAAGCTGGAGTGGAGCAGGGGTCACTTGGCCACAAAGGGGTGTCATGGCCCTTCCTGGGCCTGGGCCTGCTATATGTGCCTTCTCAAAATGTTACTGGGAACAAAAATATGTGTATGTTTTTACCTTGTTGTAAACTTGTGCCAATCTTTGGCCCACAGCTTAGATTTTTCCACCTGGCTTGCACTGTCCGCTATTTTACGGGCTGACAGTTTTGCTGGCAGTGTAGATTGTTAAAAGTCACTAAGGGTTCTCGCCTGCCACATTTGAATGTGAAATAATCTTGGGGAGGATGATGTTGACCTCTCTTCCTTCAGCGTCTTTACACGTACATGCGGTGTAGCTTGGGCCTGGGGCTCCACCTCCCCTATACCCCACCCAACGCCACCCAGATGGTGCACTGTCGAGTCTGATGTATATTTGTTTTGCCTCACTCAGTTATAAGAAGAGTCTGCCATGGTAACAGTGTTGTGGGCTAGAAGTGATAATATCCACAATGAGTGTCTGTATTCCTATTCAGTCACACATGCCCTTTCTCTTTGCTGGAAACGTTGGGCTTGGACCCGCCTAAACACGGTCTGTGCTGTCTCAATCATAGTTTCATTATTCTCCTTTTCCTTTTTGTCTTTCAGGTTTGCCATTGATCCAGCTCTGATCATTGGCGCTTGTGTCCCATGGACACTGCTCCAGTAAGTACGCTGACTCCTCCGAGTCTGTTTTGGTGCTCAGCCTCTCTACACTAGGCCTCCACCAGCCCGTGCTGGGGCAAGCCACCTTCTCACACTGCTCTGGCTGCAGCAGGGAACTCACTTCCGGTTCCTCCCTCGTATTGTCCTGTGGCAGGTTTAAACCAGTGCCTGTGTTCTGCCCTGTAAATCGGTGCCGGCATGCACTTACGAGGTATGCCCATGCCAGAGGCATGTGCTCACTCCCTTCTTCCGCTGCTGGCAGCCCATTGGATTGTGATCCTGGCGTCTGTGGTGAGTTGCTCAACGTGGCAGGTTCTTCTTCTCTGCCACACCTATCATAAAAGCTACTGGGTTTTCAATGCATGTAAAAGTGCAAACATGTCAATGGGTATGGAGGTTGAAATGTAAATCTGAATCTAAGCAGTAAAAACAGCAGGTACTTTTATTGACAAAAACCATGATATTTATTTTTACCATAGCAATTCTTTAAAAGTGGTCATGACAGCTGGATCCTGATTCTGCACTGGTTACTACAAGGTGAATTTTTCTAATCTTGTTATTTTGAACACATAATTTAACAACCTAGATCACAGGACCTTTCTCCCTGTCTGGTACTGTTTCATTTGGGGTCAGTATACCTAGGCAGGGAGTTGGACTAGATCACCTCTGGTAGTCCTTTCCAGTCCTATTTTTCTGTGATCCTATGAAAGAACCTGACTGTGGACTGCTAATGGCAACTATTGTCGTCAATAAACCACCGCAGTAGAGCACTACATTCACTTAAAGCAGCATTTAATCTTTTTGACCTTTACCATCAAATTTCAGTTTAAATTTATACAAATTTTTTTTTTTAAACACACACACACACACACAGTATTACAATATACAATATCAAATTGTAAAATGGCAGGTACATTTGTAATATTAGAATATCAAATTTACCAAATGGGAAGCAAAAAGACTTATTGGGAATCATCTTTTTAGCTTTGTCTGCACTGTTCAAAATACCTATCCTTGAAAATGGGTGCCGCTGAACCTGCTGATGAACAGTTTAGCTACAAGTGTAGCCAAGGACAAGCTCAGTACTGCTTTGGAAACTGTTGCTGCTCCAAGCAAACAAAAAGATGGAGCAGCTTCAGATCGCTTTTGCAACAACTCTCGAGATATATAGCAATCAATTTATCTAAAATATGTTGTGTTTTATAAGGAACACAAAACTCTAAAACTCTTGGTTCAGAGGTGATACCTTTTATTAGACCAACTAGAAACAAGCAAAAAAAATTATCTTTCTTTGCAAGCTTTTGGGCATGCACACCCTTCTTCATGGTGAAGGGAAATCAAAGATGGTAAAAGTCCCCTTAGGTAGAAAATAAACTTCATTTTGCACAAAGGAAGCTGAAGGTGGATGTATGTTCCTCTGGGTCCATGAGGTCCCTTTGTGTGAGTTGCTCTTTGATGTGCAGATAAGGCAGTTTCTCTTCCCTGGTGGTGTCAGATGGCAGAAAGTTAGGAAGGTATAGAAAGAAATCTTTCTTTCTTGTTTAGCAATGAAGTTTATAATTCCAAAAAACAGCTAAAATTTGGTATCTTCCATGTTTTATAAGGCACTTAATACCATTGCCTCAATTTTGGCCATAGCCATTTGGATTAAGCAGCATGGCAGAATGGTGGGGAAAAAAAATCAATAATCACAAAAAGGTTACCAATTTTCACTACTGCAACAGAAATAATAGTAACAATAACTTTAGTGAGTGTATTTGCTTAACATGATGCATTGCCTCATGCAAATTGTTACTGTAGAGCTAATGCTCCTATTTTTTCCTGCCAGGGCTGTCAAACATGCAGCCCACAGGCTGGACTTGGCCTGCTGTGCTGTTCTCTCTGGCTCAGTGGGCTACCAGAAGTTGCCTGTGTCAGAATTTGGGACCCCTGGGCTCTGTTGAACATAGCTTTCTGGCAGCAGGGGTGCAAGCGAGGACTCTGTGACACAGCCCTGTTTGTTCTGCAGGCCCTTGCTGTGATTGCCAGACCCACCACAGCCACTGCTGGACCCACTGCCATTGCAGCTGCTGTTCTTGCAGATCCAGCTCAACAGAAGTCCCACTGTCTGGATTCAGCCCAAGGCCTGATGTGAATTTGACACCTTTGCTGTAGGGTAACTGTCTTTGGCTAAGCTATAGCTCTCGCAAACGAATATATTCTTTCCTCTGACTGATTGGCAGGGTATATTATGTAAGAATCGCATAACTGTGTGTCTATTGTGGGGGAAAGTAGGTTATGTATTTAAATATATGAAATAATCCACTGATTTCAATGTGTTTTTTAACCATTTGTAAGATTTCATATTATTCTCCCAATTTTATGTTCTATATCCTCTGTGACTGTTGACAAGCCTTATATTTACAAGTATTTGAAGTATTTGAGCTGCCACACAAGAAAAATAAATTTCCATGAGGAAATGCCTGAAGCCAGTTGCACATCAGTTATTTAAAAATATTTAACCATAACCTTCACTAAAGGGCTATAGATTCATATACTATAGAATCATTTCATTCTAGACTACTTTGTTTTTTAGTCTCAGGGGTGTAGGTTGTAGCCATGTTGGTCTAAGGACATAGGCAGACAAGGTTCCTTGGGTGAATCTGATATCTTTTATTAGACCAACCCAAATAGTTGGAGAATAGTTATTAAGCAAGCTTTTGGGTTCAAAAACCCTTCGTCAGGCTAAGGAAGTTTCAGCAGTTGGTGTGTGCTCTTCCTGGATGGAATGAAAAGTAAAGAAGCCAGCGGCTGGGCTGGTACTACACCCCACGACAGAGCCATCAGCATTCCTGGATCTTACAGCTGCACCTCCAGAAATGTAGTATTTCTCATCCAATGCACCAAATGCCCTGATGGAAAATATGTAGGAGAGACCAAACAACAACTGCGCACCAGAATGAACGCACACAGGAAATCTATCAAACACAGAAATACCCAATTACCGGTGGGGGCACATTTCTCACAAGAAAACCACTCTCTCTCCAATCTCTCAGTCCTGATCCTCAAAGGAGACTTACAAAACACTTCCCAGAGACGAGCCTATGAACTCCACTTCATCAACCTCGTAGATACTAAAAATCATGGACTAAATATAGACATTAGATGTATGACACATTATAACCTGCCTGACATCTGACTCCCCAGGTATCTCTCCACTTTCATCCCCCTTCTCTCTCTTCCCCCCTCCCCGCCCCCCCAGCCTGTCTCTTACCCATTGACTCCTCAGACTACATTTTCACTGACTACCTGTCTTGTATGCATACCAGCCCAGCCGCTGGCTTCTTTACTTTTCATTCCGTCCAGGAAGAGCACACATCAACTGCTGAAACTTCCTTAGCCTGACGAAGGTTTTTGAACCCGAAAGCTTGCTTAATAACTATTCTCCAACTATTTGGGTTGGTCTAATAAAAGATATCAGATTCACCCAAGAAACCTTGTCTTTTTTAGTCTCTGTATTCACTACTCTATTATTGTTTCTTGTACATCCAAAAGTGTACTAATTGTCTCATTAGAGAAAGGTATGGTCACTGCCCCTAAGAACATATGAAGTAACATGTCAAAACAAAATAGGACCATAAACGAAAGGGAAAGGAGGCAGGGGCAGGCATGAAGGAAGAGAAGTATACAGATCCTTATCTAAATCTTATACAGTTTCTAAGTAAGGAATGTGTATATATTTTTTCATTTTACCCTTAATTTTTATTGTTTTCATTCCCTTTTGTAGGTTTCAAGGTTAAAGTGATTGTTTAAAGAAGGGTTTGAATGCCACAGAGCTGGAGAAAACATTTGAACCAATTTGGAAATAAAATGTTGGTAAGAAGACTTGTAGAATTCTCCACAGAATCCCTCCAGTCCAGTTTATTTGTTTACCTCTGGGAAAGCAGCATCCTCCTTCCTCAAAAATCCTGTATTTAACCACCTTGTGGACATCTCTGAAAAAGATTACCCCTATCTCCAACTTAAGTATTCTCACCTACTTTCCCACAGTAGGAAGGATGTTACTCAGTTCTAAACTGTACCTAACAATCTCTTAAAACATCTTGTTTAACTAAACATTGTATTAATTGCATCAAGAAAGGTTTGGAATCTCTGGTTAAGGGATTTATTTTTCTCAGAACATATAATCCTTTGTCAAATCCCAGTAGCTGAGCACTTCCCATTTTTGTCTTTCAGATTGAAGTATAAAGGTGAAGAATGCTTTGCTCCCTCTTCCTTCCAAAGGAAGCTACTCAAAATACTGTTCCTAATAGACAATAATGATTGGCAATGAAATTGACAGTATGTAAAAAAAATTGTGCCTCATCCCATTTGTTACCACAAAAGGGAAGTTATACAGGAGTGGGGAAGAAAAAAGGAGCATCTATCAACTCTTAAACTAAGATTTTATTCATGCAATTGTACAGCTATAATTATGTATGGATAGCAATGCTCATACAATAGCCCAGGTTACCAACCCTTTACTGGGGAATCCAGCAGGTTCTTGGTTTCCTGTTTCTCATGGTGGTGTTTTTTCTTCCGAGACGTAACTCAAGGCCCTTCTTCTATATCCAAGCAGCTAACTGACTATACAAAGCAGCTAGCCGTATAAATAATCTACTTAGTTATGTAAAACATCTAGTCTAGCGCACACTTTTGTTTAAAGGACTGTTGGCACCTGATCCAACTGGTTGGAACTGGGACAGGAAACTTCACACATTTTGAGAGCTGAGGGGTCTATTCAAATTAAAAGAGCTCTCCCATAGGTATGCAAAAATAGCTAAGGGTAGGGTCATCAGTCTCTTAGTCATGTAGAATGGCTAAGGGTTGGCCTATCATTCCTTCAGTTGTGCAAGGACAGCTAGAGGTGGCCCCTCTGCCAAGGCTGGGCCCATCTCCTTACACTATGCCTCAGTCCTACCAAATAAAGTTCTGTACAGGTTTACTGAAATCCACTTAAGCTGTACTATGCATATCTACATGATGAAAGGTTCAGTAAGACTTTGATATCACTTTCATATGTACCTTTAAATGAAAATTTACTGCAACCTGGACAGCTGTTTTCTCTTCTCCTTTTTGGCTCTGAAATTCTTTATTACCACTACTGATCATCTCTGTATACTTAGACTGAATACCAAAGATTTTATTCTGTGTTACCTCAGGATATCCATATTTACAAGCCTTTGTAAAAACAATCATACCAATCCTGAAGTCTATCTTCACCTTGGCTGCTTAAATTACAGTGTGGAAGCAAGAACATGCTTGCCTACGCCAATGATGGGGTGCTTAATCTTTCCAGCAAGGGTACTACAGATATATTATTTGAATTATGCCTGCCCCTTTAAAATATTATTTAACTTTATTTCTATAATTAACCCAAATGCAGAGACCTAACTGGCATACCCACTTTTCTCTCCTGTACAACGTTATTTATTCCTTTTCTTCTTTTTCCTCTGCCTTGAAAATCTGCATTAACTGAACCACTGACAATTTTAATAAAAATCACCATGATTTCACAGTATTTGTTTATTTTGTTAATACCTATCCAGTTCTTGAATGTTACCGATTATGTCAAGTTGGGGTACCTGGGATTGATAGGGTATTTCCAAAATCATGAAACACATGTCTGGACTACAAACAAATGAGCATCAGTCCCTTGTAGAGATTAAGGAGTTAAGGAGAAAATATTAAGCCTAAGAATAAAGTAACATCTTTGTTTTAAGGACAAGCTCTAGGAAATATCAGGGACAATTTGAGGGAGGGTAACCCTTTCCGAAGGTCATACATGCACATTCTCCAGCCATAATGTAACGTATCCGTTAACATATGCAGGTTAATGCTGTCTAAGCCAATTAGCACAGTCACCAGTGTCTGGCGGCAGAGACACTTGAACAAGTTACCATGAAGTCAAGGGCAGGGCTTTATAGCTTGTCAGTTGTTCTGAGATAACTGCCTGTGTACACATTCTTATTCCACGATAAATGAAAGCTACCTCCCAGTAGCTTAGTGAAAGAATGGTAACTATAACAGGTCAATTTTAATTTGTCATGGGGGAAGAGCATACACAGAATCGGTCCTAGACTTAGGTTGTAAATAGATATTGCATTTGTCGTGGGAGAAAGCCTTTTGTCCCAGGATCCAGCAGACATAAAAGTCCACTGTCCTGTGTCCTGTCCCTCTGAAGTATGCAAGATAAAATGTGCTGAGGCCTTTTCCTGGGACATGGCTCTGTGTGCCTGTAGATTGTAGTTGCAGCTGTTTAGCCCAGTTGGTTAGAGCATAACACCAAGGCCACAGGCTTGATCCCTGGTTGGACTAGATGATCTCTTGAGGTCCCTTCCAGTCTTACTTCTCTATGACAAACAAGTCAGCCAGGCTGTGTGTTCTTATTGGCCACCTACTGGAGGAGAAGCAGCAGCGTAGGTGGCAAGGATGTACGTTTCTGGTCCCTGTGACTGCTGGGTTGGTCTATACTTCCTTGTTGTATCTAAGGGTCTTTCTGGGTCAGCACTTTAATTGCAACTCCCAATTGTGCTGCTGTTCCACCGCAACCCCAGAATGAAATTGCCTGCCCCAATCATGGTAGCAGCCTTCCCAGCTCTGTTCATATTGTCGTGGAAAAAACACGCTGTAGAATTTGGAATCAGGTCAGGTAGAAACTTTATTTCGATAGCTATCGGAGAGAGACCCTTACAGGAAGATTTCTGCTGTGGCCTCTCTAATTCACATCCAGGGCAATCAACCTTTTATAGATTCAAGACAAAGGGTTGCCTAAACTAACTTTTCCCGCCTTGGGGCTATCTGTCTTGTGTCCTTCGAGACAGTTTAATGGTCATCTTCCTCTTATCTGAGGAATTTCTCTCTCCCCCCTTGAGGCCTTAGCCATCCTTTGCTTCCACATTTCCCCCCTTTGAGACTTACAAGTCTCATCTTATTCTATTTCTATTCCCATGAGTCTCTCTATTTCATCTTGCATCTTTCTATATCTTCTTTCAATCTGCTCACATCTTTTTAGTACTATCATTTTAGTTTCTGTGGTGTGTTTTCTTTCATTGTCCTTCTGCTGATTTTGTTCAGATATTTGCAGTAACATTAATCTATTCCCTGGTTGGGTTTGCTTAGATATGTAGCTTAGACAACAGCGTACGAGCATGAAAATTACACATATCAGGACAATAATAATAAAAAATATCAATAATCCATGAATAATGGTGGATCCTAAGGAGCCAAAAAGGGACCTAAACCATGAACTTAAATTCCAATCGTCTGGCTCATGTAATTTGGCTGCTTCCTTTTGAATATGTTCAGCCAAATCTTGTATTTTTTCGGAATTATCAGGGATGTAAGTACAGCATTCTTTACCAATTAAAGCACAGACTCCTTTGCTGGCTAACATGTCATCTAAAGCAAGTCTGTTTTGTAAAGTCATCTGTCTTATTTCCTTCATTTCATTATTTATTTCGTGAAGACCAATAGCAGTAGCATTAGCTATCTTCTCTAGGGATGCTGCAACTTTCTTTATTTCAGACATGGCCAAGCCTGC